AAAACTTTTCACAAACCTTTAGAATTTAATGTAATCTAAATTATATGTTACTTCATATTATTTATATATAAACTACATTCTGTATCTATTCTTTACCCTTTTATATGGTTATGTGTTTATTGCTGTTAACATGTCACTAATCTAATTTTTGAATATAGGGTCAATGTATAAACGTGACGCTGAAAACTTCCTGCGCCACGACAGAGTGTAATAAGCAGATCCACCGAGTCGATATTGAGAGCTACTTATCCTTCCAGTCGACCAACGAAAATTCTGGACTTGATCTAGTAAGTGCCATTTTTAATAATAGTATAGTCGTCTCCCCTAAACCCATATCATCTTCCAAATTTTTATCTGCTCCTTCTCTCTGTCTTTCTGATCATAACTCAAACCTAAACATGCAAGAAACATATGCTCTAACATTGCATAGGGCAATGGATATTATTAAGGTATTGATGGTTCCGATAACCAGAAATTATTCCCATTTTTAAATTTTCTAACATATATTTTTGAAAGCGTTGACCCTAGGGATCACCCTGCTCTCTTAAAATTCATTTTGTTCACTAAATTAGAAGGGAAAGCTTTTCAAGCAACCCAGTACAAAGAAATAGAGTCTTTTTCTGAATTAAAATCTTGCTTGGAGGAAATATTTTTTGACACTCGATCTGTAGCCACATTACAGATCGAATTTAATAAAATTTGCCAGAACCAAATGAAGATGTGCAGTCTTATTCTCTGCGTTTTCAAGCCGTTTTAAGACAGCTTACAAGCGCCACTATTAAGAAAAAGAATAACCCTGCAGCGAATATTATTATACAGATCTCCTCCAAGATCAAGCCCTTTATGTATTTCAAGAAGGTTTACACCCCGACCTTAGAATCATTGTAAATTGTAAATCTCCTCTAAACTTGCATGCAGCCATTTCTATAGCCATTGAGGAGGAGATTTCTTTGAAAACTTCAAGAACGAGTCGTTCTGATAAACTCTGTGTATTTGATGGTTCCGATAACCAGAAATTATTCCGATTTTTATTTTCTAACATATATTTTTGAAAGCGTTGACCCTAAGGATCACCCTGCTCTCTTAAAATTCATTTTGTTCACTAAATTAGAAGGGAAAGCTTTTCAGCAACCCAGTACAAAAAATAGAGTCTTTTCTGAATTAAAATCTTGCTTGGAGGAAATTTTTTGACTCACTACAGATCGAATTTAATAAAAATTGCCAGAAACCAAATCAAGATGTGCAGTCTACTATCTGCGTTTATTCTCACTAAATTAGAAGGGAAAGCTTTTCAAGCAACCCAGTACAAAAAAATAGAGTCTTTTTCTGAATTAAAATCTTGCTTGGAGGAAATATTTTTGACTCACTACAGATCGAATTTAATAAAATTTGCCAGAAACCAAATCAAGATGTGCTGTCTATTCTCTGCGTTTTCAAGCTGTCTTAAGACAGCTTACAAGCGTCACTATTAAGAAAAAGAATAACCCTGCAGCGAATATTTATTATACAGATCTCCAAGATCAAGCCCTTTATGTATTTCAAGAAGGTTTACACCCCGACCTTATAATCATTGTAAATTGTAAATCTCCTCTAAACTTGCATGCAGCCATTTCTATAGCTATTGAGGAGAAGATTTCTTTAAAAACTTCAAGAACAAGTCGTTCTGATAAACCATTCAAACCAATTAACCCTCCTCATCGTCCATCTGATCGTAAACCTATTAAATCTGAGCCCCCTGTTCATTGTAATTACTGTAAAGGCATTGGCCATGTAATACGAGACTGTCGTAGAAGGATATACAATGAACAGCAGCGTTCCAAAATTAACAATGTAGACGTAAAAGATTTCTTAATGAAGGCCCTTGTACTTCAACTCCCAACACACCTAGTGCTTCTGAACTTTCTTTTAAGCGAGAGAGTTCAAGAATGCACAAATTTCTTGCCTTGTCGGCAAACAGATCTAGCCTTTATAAATTTAGAATCTCTCGATACCACGAAAGATAGGATCAATTTGTTAGTCGACACAGGAGCTGAGATCAGTGTTATTAAGGTTTCAAACTTGGATGATGATATAGACATTATTATTAATAAAGAAGATAAAATTTTAATAACTGGCGTGTCAGGGAAACCCGTAGAAATAATAGGGACAGCCAATATAAGAAATTTTGCTGGGAATAAATAATAACCCATGATTTACATTGTTTTTATAAATTACCCATAGGGGTGATGGAATAGGGATTGATTTTCTAAAAGCTTATGGAGGTATTATAAATATCATCGATTCAAGTATAAACTTTAAGGACTCTGATCCATCTCTCTAAATTTTCCAAATTTCGTAACACTAAATTCTAGATCAGAAACGATAGTTAAAGTAAAAAACTGAGTCAAATTGCGTAGGTGTCATTGAACGGTCAGAGATAAGTCAAGGCGTATTTGTCGAAATACCCTTGTTGCTCCTATTAATAATTCTTGTTTTTGAGTGTATAATAAATTGTAACGAAAAGGAGATCAACTTAAAATCCCTACCTTTCAAATTTGTAGATTGCCAGAGAGCAACACACTCTTTAGTAAATTGTCTTTCACTAATAATATTCAAACAACCCAAAATTTTCAGTCAGTTAGAATCGAAAAAATTTTACATGATATTAAAGTAAATCATTTGAATGATGAAGAACGCGAACTTTTATACCAAATTTGTAATGACTTTACGATATTTTTTTTATGTAAGGGCGATAAATTACCTTTTACTTCTTCTGTTCAGCATAGTATAATTACCCACTTCTACAACTTTACCTATAAATGCCAGACCGTATAGATTGCCTAATTCGCACAAAATGAAGTAAGTAAACAAGTGAAGGACTTATTAGACAACGAATTCTTGAGCCAAGTACAAGTCCTTAAAAACACGCCCCCTTGCTCCTAGTTAGAAGAAATCTGAAAATGGTAATGCTAAGTGGCGTTTAGTTGTAGATTATAGAAAACTAAACGAAGTCACGGTTGGTGATTCCTTTCCTCTTCCAAATGTTGTCGATATATTGGACCAGTTAGGGAACTCTAAATACTTCTCCACTTTAGATTTAGCATCTGGGCTTTCATCAGATTCCTATGACGGTAGAAGAATATAGAGAAAAACTGCTTTTTCGACGCAGACGGCTCATTATCTATATAAACAGATGCCTTATGGGCTCAAAACCTGCTCCCAGCTACCCTTTAAGATTTTTTCTAAGACTCGGCTGAAATTACACTCTGCTGTGTGGTAAGAGGCATGTCAAGGTTCACATAGATAGACTAAAACTTTTTATAGATTAAGATCATTATTTTACCATTCTTATATTTTGGATTTTATTATCATTGATAACAATTCTGCAATCATGTTACAAACAATTTTTTTTTTCTTTCTCTCGTTTTTTATTTTTAAAAAAACCTTTTCATATGTAGTTTGTTATAATTCTTAAGATCACATTTTTCCAATATTTCTATTATAATTTGTGTTTATATTATTTAAAATACATTAGTGTTTCTCATATTTGTTCGTTTAATACTCAATATTTTCAATATTTTTACAATCCCTAACTGTAATATCTTATATTTAAATTGAATATTTTTAATAAAAAATCATTAGATTAAGTTTTAGATTAATGTTATCGCCATTTTTTAGATATAAGCTTTCCATTTATCACAAATTCTAATTCTTGTTCGTTTTTTTCTTTTATCATATACCATATTTTACTTAAGATTATAGTTTAGGTATATCATGTAAGATTGGTGTCTAATAATCTTTTCTAAGAGGGGAGGAATGTCGTGCCCGCTGCACAACACTATATTCCTATATACAGTGTGCGAGACACTAGCTAGTACAAGGCGAAGAATATCGAAGATACCGAAGATATTCCGAAGGAGGGAGACCTAAGATGCACATCGAACACTCAGTCTTTTCCCTGGCAATTAGCGGCGATACTAAACTACTAAATTCAGTTAATTACATAATTATACAAACTACATCTAATATTCATTGAAAGTTGTTCTGTTAGTGTTAATAAATTAGTTTGTAAGTCAAAAGAACTTTCTTGAGTTTGAATTTATCATTATATATCCTCGAAATAACCTCCGCTGAAGGCAACAACAAGTTGTAGTATATCATTGTTAAAGCAGTGAAATATACGAAGCATAACAATTAGATAGCGGTAGTCAAATATTATTTCGGAGTCACTTGCCGACCGGTTAAATTGCACTCTAAATACAGTATCAAATTCTTTAAGTGTTTTACATGGACATTCGTTATTTAGTAATAAAACAGCTACTATAAGAATATTTTCAAATATTTCTACGTTTACTAGAACCTTAGATTTTGTTGTTTTAAAATCAATCACTAGTAATTTGCCGTCCGCTGATATTAATATAAACGATTGGAATATTCCCTCACACATTAAATTTGCAGATCCTCATTTTTATATTTCAAGCCCTATAGATATGTTGATAGGAGCTGAACTCTTCTTCGACATTCTGCAACAAGGTTCTATTAGATTAGGAAGTTATCACCCGATTTTACGTAACTCTAAGTTTGGATGGATTGTTTCGGGTAATTACAATAGTATTGAAAGGTCTAAGAAATATGTAGGTTTGATAACACATTCTAATTTTAAATTAAATGAGAATTTGGTTAAATTCTGGTATTTGAAAGAAATACCTAAGGCAAATATGCGCCTTTATGGTTTAAATAAACTTTGTGAAGATCAGTTTGTATCTAGTGTTTCTAGAATTAATAATAGGTTTGAAGTTGCCTGGCCCTTTACACCAGATTATAAAGGACAATTAGGTCATTCATATGGTGTTGCACATAAAATATTTCTTTATTTAGGAAAGCGATTTTACAAGGATCCCAATTTATATAAACTATATTGTGAGTTTATTCATGAATATATTTCTAAGGGGCACGCCGTTCAAACAGATATTCCAAAATCAGACATTTTAGATACCTTTGATTCATTCACCAGTAATAATGATTATTATATGCCACATCATGTTGTTTTTAAAAATTCAGATTCTAATAAAATACGCGTTGTTTTTGACGCATCGACTAAAACTTAGTCGGGAAAGTCTCTTAACGACATCCTTCTAACTGGTTTAAAATTACAGAAGGATTTATTTGGTATTTTGTTAAGATTTAGATCGAAGCCTTTGTTTTTATAGATGATTTAATCAAAATGTTTAGACAAATAATAGAAAATCTGCAAGATAGTAAACATACTCCTAATCTTAAACTGATGGCGGAATTGAAATCGCTTCATCCTTTCTTAGATAAGTCAGGTTTTTTAAGAGTGGATGGTAGGATAGAAAACGCTGATGTTTCTTATGAACAAAAGCACCCTATAATTCTGCCCAAAAAACATTATGCCACAAGACTATTATTGAAACAAGAGCATGAAAGATTAATGCATGCGGGCACGCAAAGTGTTTTAACAAATGCTTGCCGAAAATATTGGCCCTTGAACGCGCGAAGAGAACTAAAGGCAATAATACACTCATGTATAAAATGTGCAAAAATTAAAGCTGTTACTGCCTCTCAATTGAAGGAAAGTTTATACATTGATAGAGTTAAATTTCAACGCCCTTTTTTTAATGTTGGGGTTGATTACGCAGGACCGCTGACTATAAGATCTAGTCGATTAACCCTTCGTCGGGCGCAGCCGATCTGACAGATACAGAGCCAATAATTTTTCATGCTGCGCCTTGGTTGAATGTTATAGAAACCCCCACTCTTCAATAGCCTCCTAATTTTATATGTTTTATTTATGCGTTTTTATCATTTTGTGTTTGACCTTCACATTTAGTGGCAATCGGTATTTTGATCCTAGAGATACACTGCGCCCGAACGTGCAACATTTTGATACGTACGAATATTGCAAATTTTTGTGAATGTAAGTATTCTTTTTCTGTATTTTTTGCGTATTTTTGAATCTATATCTCAATACTTTTCATTTAATTGTAATTTTTTGAAAGTATCTACGAGATTCACTGCGCCCGAATGTGTTACTAACTTGAGTCCATACATTTAATAGGCTAGTAAATATGGCGAGTGGTGAAAAAATATATAATTTAGAAAAACCAGCTCATGCAGAAGAGATTCTAAGAATGCTGAATGATGATGCTGATGAAAATAATCTTCTTGACGATTTAGGCGATGAAAGTGGAAGTGACGAAGACCATCTAGAGAGTCGCGAAGTCGATTCTGAGACAGAACAAGAGGACGAACAGGATGAAAGTGAGGAAGAAATAAATTTTGACAATAATGCTAAATATTTTATGAGTAGAGATAAATCTATAAAATGGTGTAGCAAACCTCCCTCTAATAGGATTCGAGCAAAATCCCATAACTTATTAAGACATTTACCAGGTGTTATAGGAAACGCAAAAAATGCTGCAACGCCTATAGAATGTTGGAGTCTTTTTTTCACAGATGAAATGTTAAATATTATATTAACCTACACAAATCAGTACATTGAAGAGGTAAAAGTAAAATATGAGCGCGAAAGAGACACTAAGCCTATTGATTCAATCGAATTAAAAGCATTTATAGGCCTTTTATTCTTAGCTGGTGTGTATAAGGCTAATAGACTTTGTTTGGAGGAGCTGTGGGGCATAAATGGTGATGGTGTAGAGAAATTTCACTTAGTGATGAGCATAAAAAGATTCAAATTTATAATGCGCTGTCTTAGATTTGATGATCGCCTAACAAGGTACGAAAGAAAACAAGAAGACCGATTAGCTGCAGTACGCGAAATTTTTACGCAATTTGTTCACAATTGCAAAAAAAATTACTCTCTTGGAGAATATGTAACTGTGGATGAAAAACTAGAAGCTTTCCGCGGGCGATGTCCCTTCCGTCAATATATACCATCAAAGCCAGCAAAATACGGTATAAAAATTTTTGCACTTGTTGACGCAAAGTTATGCTATACATATAACTTAGAAATATATGCAGGACAACAACCCAATGGCCCATTTCAGAACAGCAACAAACCTTCAGATGTAATAAGGAGATTAATTCAACCCATTCTAGGCTCTGGGCGAAATCTTACAGCAGACAATTGGTTTACAGAGTTCGATCTTGTGGAAGAACTACGGCAAAATAAAATTTCATATGTTGGGACCGTAAGGAAAAATAAAAAGCAATTACCTCCTGAGTTTATTACATCTATTGGAAGAAAAGAATATTCAAGTATTTTTGGTTTCATGCCATGCACAACACTAGTCTCATATGTCCCGAAGAAGGGAAAAACAGTTATACTTGTTTCCACCTTACATGAAGACAAGTCAGTAAATATTGAAACAGGATATAAAACTAAACCAAATATCATCACGTTCTATAATGAAACTAAAGGTGGGGTTGATACGGTTGATAAAATGTGTGAGTCTTTCAATGTTGCTAGAAATGTACGGCGCTGGCCCATGGTAATATTTTTTGCTATGCTGAATATGAGTGGCATCAATGCGCAAATAATTTACCATGGGAATGGTAAGAAAGATCTTCGAAGAAGATATTTTTTGAGACAATTATCGCATGAACTTGTTCTTGGACAGCTAACAAGAAGAAGTGAAATCACGAGTGGAATTCCGTTCACTTTGCAGGCAGGACTCAAAAGATTCAGACCAAATTCACAGGAAAATGTCTCACAAAAACAAGATGAGCCACAAAAAAAACGGCGATGTGAACCATGCACATTAGAAGCTAATATTAGACGGCTTTCAAGATTTTGTTGTGCTAAATGTCGAAAAGCACTGTGCTTACAACATGCGATCTTTCAATGCAGTGCTTGTTCAAATGCTTCAATAAATGATAATATTTAACTATACACATTAAACTATCATTATTATATTACTTATTTTTTATAAAGTGACAAATGAAAAAAAAGTCAGAGACTGTGTACTTCAATAGAGAAAAGTGAGTGTAAATAATTTGTGCATATATACACAGGTTTATATTTTTCTACATTTTATAATAAAATATCATTGAATTATATTTTTTTTTATTTATTCAAAAAGTATACATTCTGAAATATAATTAAACAAAAAATAAACATGTTTATAAAATAAGGAGCCTCCTGAGGATATACTTAAAAACCGTTGCTGTCGGATACACTGCGCCCGAACGTGTGCGTAACCGGACTGCGCCCGACGGAGGGTTAAGGAAAGCACCAAGAATTAAGGCTTATATTGTTTTGTTTGTTTGCATGGTGACAAAAGCTGTTCATTTAGATATTGCAACTAGCCTCGCAGCAGAATCGTTTATTTGTGTTATAAAGAGATTCGTTTCTCGTAGAGGGTTATGTTCGGTAAGAAATAGCGACAACGGAACGAATTTTATAGGTGCTAATCATGAATTGCAAGAGCTACGGAATCTTTTTAGTAAACAATCCTTCAAGGCAGATATAATTAACCAAGCTGCGACTATGAGCACCACTAGGAAGTTTATTCCTTCTCATTCCCAACATTTTGGTGGATTGTGGGAAGGAAGTATTAAAATTATGAAATATCACCTTCGAAGGATAATAGGCTCTTCCTTTTTAACTTACGAGGAATATTTAATAGTATTATTACAGGTTGAGGCAATTCTTAATTCACGTCCTCTTATGGAACAGATGATTTTTCTAGTTTTCAGTACTTATCGCCTAGTCATTTTTTGATTGGAGATTTTTTAACTACAATTCCAGAACCAAACGTAAATTTTGATAAATTAAATTCATTATGCTAAAAAAAGGACTTCGAACAAAAGTTGAGTCTACATATTAATAAGATTTTGAACAATAATTCGCTTAATTGCAAATAATACAATATTACCATTTATTTTTTGGAAATATTTCATTTATATATCGTACGTCATATAAGTAGTAAGTATATATATATATATATATATATATATATATATATACACAAGATATAAAATTAACTGTAAAATATAATAAATAAATTCAAAATGTATTTTAGTTAGTCATACATATATTTCAACAAATCTACAACTTGTAATGAACGATGTATTTCCTATACTAATAGTTAGATGAAATTATAATTAAAACATAAATTTTAATGATTGCTTGCTCATTTTCATCTTTGACCCGCGCTTTGACGCTTATCCATTAGTGTCGCAGTTTGGGTATTCTCGACTCGCTCGCGGTGGGAGCGAGCGCCGGTAACTCAAGCTATTGGAATTTTCGTGTCGCTTCGATCATGTTCGGCGGGGTACGTGTTCTGAGAATAAACCACTTCCCTATCTCAAACAAAAAAAATTAATGTGCGCTATGGACATGCGCAGTGAACGTATTTGAAGGAAATTCATGCGTTTGGCAGTGGGACACCCCATTGCACGAATGCGCACTGCGAATCCTGTTTCCAACATGCGCGTGGTGGGCATGCGTTTTCAATAATTTAGTATGCGTACATTGCGAACATAATGGGACAAGCCATTACGTTGCGGGTCTATAATCGTATGAGTTGGTAGTCACGAACTGCCAGAAAGCTATGTCTTAGCTGTTTGAACATGCGTTTTACATATAAAAACTAATCTCCAATAGACTCAAACGTCAGAACTTTATCTTGGTTAGTATTAGACTACTATCGCATACAATTATAGACCCGTAACCTAACATTATTATATTATCCGAGAATTGGTCGGATCGAAGTCATAGAAATGCCGTTAAAATATAATATTCAAAAATGTTTATACTTTTGGATTTTTATTTACCAAAAAAAGGCAGAACCAGCAAAAGGAAAAAACATGAAAATAAAGAACAACAAATACATCCTAAAAATCAGCTACATCTCAAAATTAAGTAAGTGAGCCTTCTAAAACCAAAACTTCGTCAGACTTTGCAAACTAACAAAAGGAAGAAAATTGAAAATAAAGAACAATCAAAGAAGAATATTCCCACAAAAACGCTGGCTAAATCCACTGTGGATGATGAAAATGATAATCATATGTTAATAAAATTATTTATATATGTCCAATATTTTGCAAAATAAGCCATTGTGAATGAGGATGGTACAGTTAATGTACCTTACCTCAAAAACGCCAATTGGAATATAGAGTTAAGCAATGGGCATTCATATTATACTCGATGCCAAACATTATATTACTATAATTATATAACTATAATTTTAGGATGCTATTGTATCACTATAAGGATGGAGAGTTTCTTCAAAACCAGATACAAAAAACTGGAACTGTTTTATTATAATGTTATTTGTGTGACTTTAAAACTTTACCTGTAAAAATTGAAATGCTCAATGTTTTGCTTTTAAATTAAAGCACGAATCACACGACGCTTGTTTTCTGACGCTGGTTTTCCCGCTTGATTTTTTTGCCGATGACGGCGCTGTAAATCATGATATTTTTCTAGCCGTACGCATCACACGAGGCTTGTTTTTGAGCGTTGGTGAGTAAGTGAATGGATAGCGTGCAACATAACCTCAAAAGTGATAAAAATGAACAGTGCGTGTGCATCTATACAAATTCTTAACCGTAAACGTACTATAGTGCACGCTTATTTAACAACTTTGATAACATTCCATAAACAAAGCCGATCAAGAAAGCGTGAGTGGAGTCGTTGTGTATTAAGTATGCTGTTTAATGAACTTGGGTAAGTCTACTTTATTTATTTGATATTTAAATATTGCTGAAATATTATAGACTTATTGTTGTAAGTAATATTTTAGTCCAGAAGATCCTTCAAGTTTCACGAATTACACAAGGATGGAGGAACTTGTTTGGGATGAGTTGTTGACACTTGTCAAACCTTTAATTGTAAAACAGAACACGGTGATGCGAGAAGCTGTATCGCAAAAGAGAAGGCTTTCTGTGACCATTCGCTACCTAGCTACAGGTAACACATTCAAGGATCTGAGCTACTCTACTCGAATGGCACCCAACACAATTTCTAAAATTGTTCGAGAAACGTTAGAAGCTATCATAATCGTGCTGCAAAGTAGGGCAAAAACTTTTCCTGCATCAGCGGAGGAATGGAAGGTAATAGCAAAAAAAATTGAAATGTCCTGGAACTTTCCTCACTGTGTCGATGCATTAGATTGAAAACACATTAATTTTCGTCCAGCCCGGAAAGAAGGTTCCAAATACGGAAACTATAAGGAAAGCGACAGCATTATACTATTAGCTCTGGTTGATGCAGAATATAATATTTGTATTTGTGGATGTTGGGCGAAATGGTCGTACTCACGACTCAATTGTTTTTCGAAGCAGCGTATTAGGAATGAAAATGGAAAACAAGGGTTTGAATTCACCTTCATCAATAGAGTTGCCAAATGCAAATTATAAATTACCTTTTGTAATAGTTGGTGATGATGCATTCTGTCTGAAGGAGTACCTTTTAAAACCATATCCAGATAGGGGTCTGACCTATGAAAAGAAGATTTTCAACTAGAGGTTGAGCAGGGCTCGGAAGGTTGTGAAGAATGCCTTTGGGATCTTGGCGAACAGTTGGCATATTCTATTGACTACGATACCACTGGATGTGAAAAAGCGGAAACAATAACATATGCATGCATATTGCTTCATAATTACATATTATCTAAAAAAGTGCATGCTACTGGCATGTACCTAGCGATTTACACAAGTCTAATTTTCAAACAAATATTACTGAAATGAAGGTTTCTACAAACCCTTCATAATCATCAAATCGGAGTAGTGATGATGCTCTGAAAATTCGTGATAAATTTTGCTATTATTTTAATAATGAAGGAATGGTTCCTTTTCAGCTTTCTGCTGTTACAAAAGGACATTTATAAGTCTCATATCAAATGCTGAAATATTATTCTTATTATTATTATTATATATTATATATTACTTATTATTATAATTAAAATAAAATGTTTCTTCCAAATAAAAAAATGTTTTAATGTAAAAATAAATATAATTTATTTCAGATACATATTACACATTCTTATGCTTATGTTATAATTAAAATGAAATGTTTCTTCTAAAAATAGTTTTAATGTTTAAAAATAATTTATTTTATTTATTATTTGCACTTATACTGGCTTCTTAGAGAAGATTTTGTTGCCAACCATCCAATATAATGCCCTCGATCTTCAATAGAGTTGCTCGTTGCAAATCTACATTTGTTAAATATTCAGTGAAAACCACTTGTTTAATAGATAATTATCTAATCATTGTGAATCGAATGGGATTAAATTTGGAAAAATTATGTGTATGAGTCAATTTTTGACCTCTCGCCAACGTTTTCCCAAAAACGGCTTTTCTCAAAATGTTTAAAATCTATTCGATGTACGTCTATACGTTCTATTTCATGGAAAATGATTTCTAAATTTACAAAAAAAGTTTAGGATCTATTCTTAAAATGAATTGTCGTGACATTTTATCGAGTTTAAAATTTTGACATACTGAAACATTTGCCGCCCCCTAAATTGTGCCGCCTTAGGCCCGGGCCCAGCACTGAGTTTGGCATACTATTAGATATGATATACATATACATATAATAAAATAGTATAAACATAATCAGAAGAGTGGCTGACCGCTGAGTTGCCCTCTCGAGAAAAGTGGTGGACTAGAAAGTAGATTCTGTCCGCTTTTTTATTTCAGTTGATAGCTCACTCAACAAAGTAGTCTCTTCGACTGATAATATTTGTTGTCTGAACGAACTGTATGATTGGATTAAAGAAGCTAGAATACAAGATGATCAAGTAAATAAATTATTAAAAATAATAAACAAATATTTTGATGCAAATTTGCCAGAAGAAGTACAGGGTTTGGTACAAATAATTGAAAACCGTGAGCCTGATATTACAATTGCTCAAGGTTTTCACAATGGTAGTCATCC